GGAACTGGCAGTGGCACTAGTACTGCATACAACGTGAAGAGGATAATTGATACCAGCGTACAGAAGGAACGGAACTGGCACTAGTACTACTGCATACAACGTGAAGCGAATAATCCCTATACCATCGGACCTGCCTAAGAAAATGCGACATAACAATCTCGTAGGCCTTAGAATCTTAGAAGCTTACACTGGGCATGCTTCCAAAGTGACACTAAGACGTAGACAATCGGAAAGACCTTAGACAAAAAAAGGGTTGACTTCTCTAGTAGATTGGACCTGCCTAAGAAAATAAAGTGACGCTAAGACGTAAAGAGTTAATTTCCTACTAAAGAACTCGCCAGGGAAATCTTAGGCAACTCACCGAGTAAGTAGATTCAAATCATCAGAGTCCTACTTGTGGCCATAATTATAACCCCTATCGTCCTTGAGCCTTGTCCGATTTGGCGTGTGGAAAGTCTGCGAACTCCGACTAAAAACTGGAGACTCACCTGCTGGAGGTATGAACGCGAGGAAGATTTAACAATAAAGGAACTTCATCTATTGATTACCTGGATTCGATGTACTTACATTTGTACTAGTTTCTTCTCTACACAACCACTAGACCTATTGAGGTTTTTGGTTTTCACTACTTACTCCATTAACCCATTCTATTTAACTGCTACTTACTCCACAAAACACGAAGACGAACATCAAGATGATTGCATGATAGATCCATGTCTGATCATCTTGTAGTTTTAGTAGCTAAAGATTTTGGAAGAAGGGACTGATCTAGCCGTTAGTAGCTAAAATCAAAAGCTGCTATACACCAGACCAGACATCTCTTCAGGAAAGGCTAATTTTCTAATAGTATTAGTTAGTAGATGCTCTCTGCCATAAGAGATAGCAGCCCTCGGGTGCTAAAGAAGTTCGCCCTGGCAGTACCCCCAAATCTTTTCCGTCCTGCCGTGGAGCTACTGCTACCACCGCCACCTGCTGAAAGCGTCGATGACGCTACGACACTGTCCTTAGACACAACTACACTGTCCTTAGACACAACTACTAGCAGTAGTTGTAGCAGTGTGCCCATTCATGAGCTACGGGCTAGGTTAGGTTATAGATCCTTCACATCGATGACCTATAGGTCGTTATGGATCCTATTTCAACTCTGGTTAGACCACATCACAACTACTTACACTGTGACTAAACACAACTACTTATACTGTGACTAGACGACGTCTATATTGTGGTTAGACACAAGCAGTAAGTACATTGTGAGCCAGAAATAAAAGAGTTCATAATATAAGGCTGACGCCGCGAGGAGAGCGTGGAAATGCCGCCAGGGTGAACATTCGAATATAGTCCAGGTTTAGAGTCGAACAATAGGCCTTTTTTTCATCTCAGGAGTCCCCTCATCTCGACGACCCCTTTCTTTGTGTCCCATGTTCAGGGAACTGAAGAGAATAACCGAGAAGAGACTGAAGGAAGAGTAGCCTTTAAAAGCTAGTACGTCCCTTATTTCACTCAGTAAGAACTCGGGTATTTCTTGTATTTCCAGTTTTCGAATACTTAAATATGAAGACAATTCTTGCCGCAGACGCAGCCACTACTACCATTAGATCCAGATGAATAAATAAAAGCTGACCTTAACAGGTGTCCCGCTAGCTAGTGGGCTATCGCCACCTTCTCCCGTTTTTATCCGCAAATGCGGGTCCTTCACAGCCCGTCCACTTATTCCGCCAGGACCTTGAGCGCTGTTCGCGATGCGAGAATTAGAAAAGTATGGTCAAAAAGCTTATCTAGTCCTACAAAGTACAGCGAATTGACAGATGAGGTTACTTTCTCCGGCACGATCGAAGGATAATATTATTAACCTAAGAAGTGCCACGAGCTAAGTAAAGCATCTGCTAAAGTGTGCGAACTGTCGGAATCTATAAGAACGTAGGATGGAGATTGACTACTCTACTAAGAAGTAATTGTCGAGGACCATACTCATAACGGTCTGTGACGCCAAACCTGGCCCTCCAACTTTCGATGGCTCCGCTTCTTTGATTTTAGTATTTCCTCCAGGTCCTTTTTTCGTTTTTTCGAGTTTGAGCAATGGCTCTGAGGGCATACTGTCTCCTGCAGCAGGGTTTGTCTGCGCTAGGTAACGACGCCAAGGTTAGAAGAGTCGCACAGTGAGAGGGTAGTCAAAGATGAGACGAGAGTAAGAACTTTATTAGAGTTAGACTAGAACTTATCGGGTACTACCTGATAGACTAGAACTTTATTAGACTTATCAGGGAACTACTTATCTATCAGGTACTACTTGAGTAGTAAAACATTCCTTCATTCAGAACCAACCCGACAGGTGACACTATGAGTGCTGGTCAAAGATGAAAGGGTGCTCAAATATGAGAGAGTGAGAACTTTGTATTTAGTTGTATAATTAGTTCATCATCCGTTTTAGAAGAAACATGGCTCCTTTTTTAATAATCTTGTAGATAGACAGATAGATGTACCCACTCATGGGGTATAAGTTCTTTAATTAGAGTCTTAGAATCTTAGATACTCATCTTCTTATGTTAAATGACTTTAATGAAGTAAATCCGTAACAGAATTCCCGCAATTTCAGATGCGCTGCTTGTGCTGGATGAAGGTATTTGTCGTCCCTGGGTACGACTTCGCTGTTGGCAAAGTCCCAACTTAGAGATCACACAGCACCCTAAAAGGAGTCCACAGCACCCTAAGGGAAGTCATCTGAAGATTGATTGATTGATCGATGTACCTATTCGCGAGGTATAGGGGCTACCTGTGTGCATGGGGGAGAGGGCTTATTCTTCGTCCTGTCTTTGGTCATTATTTCATCATCTCAATCTTCTTTTGTTTTCATTCATTCACTCACTCGGTACTCGCCCAAATATCTGAGTTGACTCCACAAAGTGGGCAACGCTGAGTCTTTTCAAAAGCATCTAATGAATCAGCATCCTCCTGAGATACAGTGCGTCACGTTTAAACCCCTCTGCTTTCCCCTTGAAGAACAGGCTCTCCCCTGCCAACTGATCCATCTATCTTGAGATACAGAGCATCCTGTATAAACCTCACGCGTCAACCCTCTGTAAGGAGAAGCCTTAATAGAAACTCCCGCACAAATTCATCATCGTCTTCTTTTTCAGGGTAGAGGAGATCCACGTCGCGACTCGTAAACTCCCTATCCCCATCCCGAAACGTCTCTACCACAGAAGAGAGAAGACACCTGATAAATTTTCATGGCGGTTGCGTAGACGTACGGAGAGTGAAGGAATGGATAGGATAGGATAGGATAGGATAGGATAGGATAGGATAGGATAGGATAGGATAGGATAGGAGAGGATAGGATAGGAGAGGATAGGAGAGGATAGGAGAGGATAGGAGAGGATAGGAGAGGATAGGATAGGAGCTGGCTCGCCTCAAGGAGGTGAGCATTCACGACTATCAAGAGGGGAGCGAATGAATGTGCCTCGCGCGAGGTGAACCTGTTTTATGTCGCGAATGTAGATATAGATTAGTCGTACATAATACTTGTTATCTACTAGTAGGACAAACGATGAGAAGATGAGGAGAAAGGAAGCGCGAAATACAAGACGCAACTGATTACAGACTAATAATAAGTAGAGCAGTAAGCCATCTCAGAGCTACAGCTTGGATCTAGTATGGACCAGCCTGTTTCCGAAAGGATGTAGAATAATGCCTACAACTGCTACAACAGGTTAGTATTTGAGCGGAGAAAGCATACATGGTTTTAGAGGTATAGGAATTTCATTCCAACTCCTGTTAGTAGCAACATACAAGAACAGTTTACATCAGTAGTACTTTGAATTGCATTGTTTATCAGTAGTTGTAGCAGTACTTTCTCCCATTGTTTATGAGGGATCGATCCACCTCGTTGCTAGCGAGTTCGACTCGATTTTTTAGCTTCTTATAGTGTCTGATGATATTTCGTACCCGGGATGAGTTGTGTTAGAGCTCAAAACAATTCGATAAACCAGCCACACCATCACTCAAAAAAAAATCCAGGTTGAAAAGACGTCTACACTACAACTTGACTTCTCTGTAAGACAACAGATGACAATGAATTTTTTACTTCTGCAACCGCGACTTCTCCCGAGAATGGATCCCAAGAGAGCAACAAAAAGGAGAAATGATTGACGTGCAGAAATAAGCTACTTAAAATTGTGTTGAGCCTTAATTGTGAGATAGCGCAGCTTGTTGCTGGCCGCCTGATCGTGAATCTGCAGAGGCTTCGTCCTCCGAGTCGGAGCCTGTGCCTAAACTTAGAGTTTGTGTGTGTGACAACTTAAAAGACGTTATAAGTCTGCTGTTTATAGGTACGTACTAGTTTGGTGTCAACTATAATTCACTTGCTGTCAACCACATAGTGTTAATTTCCTGCCAACTGCATAGGTTCTTCGTCTTACATGAGAAAAGAACAAGTCTTAGTTTGCTCCTGTCAAGATCAACACCACAACATAAGATGACTTCTATGTCGTCATAAGATGATTTCCAAATCCGGGTCGTGCTCCTGCAGCACCTTGGGCGACCGCCTGGCCGACAAAAAGACACTCAAGGGCTGCGACCGCGTCGGTGACATCTTCTCTATCAAATACCTGCATGTTCTGGGTATATATATTTAGGATAAATATCAAATACCATCAGGGCGAATTGGGTGAGAATGAGCATGTTCTTGTTGCCCTGTGCCTGTGATTTAGGGTGCATGTCTATTTGGATGAGTGAGGAATTAAGGAATTTGGATGAGTGAGGAATGAGCATGTTGTTGTTTCCTTGTTGTTGTTGTTGTTGTTGTTTCCCTGTTGTTCCCCTGTTGTTGTTGTTGTTTCCCTGTTGTTGTTGTTCTGTGAAAATTTGGAGAATTAGTAACCTCTTGTTCAGGTCATCTGTGTTAGAGCCTCTGTGCTAGAGTCATCTGAGAATTGGTATCCTCTTGTGCAGATGTCCACCTCCACGACTGGAGCACCTCCACACTTCAAGGGGGCTCCACTCGGCACCCCATGCAGGTAGAGAGGAACAAAATTCGACTATTTTTTTTGAAAACGAGCGGGCCCCTCCAGCTTCATTGAGAGCACCTCCACACTTCAAGGTAAGCATTGATCAGGCGCCCGCGGTGAACCCTCGAACCGTGGTTATCCTATTTTTGTGTACGCAAAAAAAAAGGCAGCACCACCCTCCGAAACGACCAAGTCAGTCTACCCAGAGGGAAACACTGCCGTGAAGAGTCTAAGCATTTTTTACAGTCAGACGGCTACTGAAGTCTTACCGCTTTTTCCAACCTCAAAAGTCTTTCAATCCTAAATTTTGCTACAGTTTTTCATCTAAATCTCAACTATCATCAATGTTCAGCATCTAAATGTACTAGATAGCTGATACTGAACCACTATGCATCTATCAACTCTCTACTAGGTTACCAATGCAAGTTTTGGCCATCGATCTAAAAATTTGAGTGATGAGTGATATTATTGTCCCCTTTACATCAAGTGACAGTTCAGTGTTAATAGTACTCGTAATCGTCGTCTTGGTATCTTGGCTTTTGTCGCTTATGAAAGCCTTCCTCAGTGGCACTACCGTCAAACGGCTGCTCGTCCTTTGCGAACATTTTGTCTTGCCGTAACCGAACTTTCTTCTTCTTCAGCGCCAATTTAGACAACCCTGAAGACACGCCCACGCCTCCAAAGTACTAGAAGATGATATGCACCTCTCAATTATAGAGAGTCTTGAGTCTCCAAAGTGATATAGAAGAGTCCCACTCCCAAACTGGTCAGTACTAGTTAAAAGAGAGTCTCGAGTCTAAATCTCTGAAGTGTCTCTCTGACTCAGTCCCTCTGGAGTGAGTGAATGAGTGCGCCAATACTAGCAAGAGGCTATTTTTTTCCATGAGACTATATGCTTCTTCCCCCCCCCGAAGTTACAAGTGGAGGTTTTGCAAAGAATGAATTCAACAAATTTACAAACAACCACCCTAGGAAGCATAAGACCGCACGACGATGATGATGATGATGATGATCATGATGATTGTGCTTAATCTTACAACGAACTTTCCTTCCTTTCTTCTATCCCATAAAAATACGCATATTTTTAGTAACTACAATTTGTAAAAAGTTCTATCCTTTGCTGCACTTAGTAGTAGTAGTAGTAGTAAAACCAATCCACGGGTACGTGCACTTCTTTTATACAGTAACTACGATTTGTAAGCGCCTTAACCAACGCCCTGAGGGCTGCCATGTACTTCAGATCCGCGGAAACCCTGCCAAATATCGCCGTTTCCTCCGGCATCACTAGAATGTCCTCGGATGGCCTTCCGTCCATCGGAATAACGATTTTGTCCACCAGAGGACGGACCCGATTAGAGTAATGAAGTAAGTACTATAAAGTAAGCGGAATTCAAAGCAAGTAAGATACTTACTTGCTTCTTAACATTGTCGTATTCCACTAGAAGTCTAAGAAATCGACTAGAGCAGGAGGCGGAAGATTATCCCTTGGATGAAGATAGTAGGACTTTTATCCCGAGGAAGGTGGAGGCACTAGTTCAACTTAATCGACACTCGCGTTGACTTGTATTACTCTCCTCATTTTTCTCGGAGGCCATCAGAAACAGCAGTTTAGTATGGTACGAGAACTAGCTAGGTACAACTGTTCAACTACTAGTAAAACATGATTCTAGTTCAACAGACCTGAGGTAGGATCAACAGAGAAACTACGAGCAAGATGAAGCACCTACTTTAGAGTATCCTTTGAAGCATCCTTAGCCTACTCATTGAAGTTAATAAGTATCCGCAGACTATTCTTTGAAGCATCTTTAGACTATCCTATGGATAGGAAAGCCTGTGGAGAGGATAGCCTGTCGCAGACAGGATAGCCTGTTGTGGTTAGGATTGACGGTGAACTGCATAATGACACGATAACCCGGCACCGCAGATTGGCCGTTTGTTGATTTTTGCAGTCGTTGGAAAAGCTTCGATAGTGACTGGTTCATCAACGTTTCCAAGCCCACTGATATCCCCACGCACCTCCCGGACAGAAGTTAGAAAGTCCAGCTACTCTATGAATGTGAAGAGTCCAACTAATTTTCTAAATTAAATACTCCTAGTTCATCCAGAAGTTCGGAGTTAAGTTCAAGAGTACACACATTTGGAACAATGTGAGCAGGGTGAACTCCTTCTTGCGAAAACAAGATAGACTTGAGAGGTGAGGATAGACTTGTTGAGGATAGACTTGAGAGGTGATGTTCTAGGAAGCCAAGTCTTAAAGAAGAATGTAATGCTCACTCTCCGGCAGCCTCTGATCCTTCCGAAGCAGACCTGATAGACGAGGAAGAAATTCCAAACTTTGACGAAGGAATCTAAAGTCCCTCATACTTCTACTTACGAAGCAGGAACCTGGGACCCACCTCCTGATAGTCGTGGATGGAAACATGCTGTCTAAGTAATAACTTGTAAGCGTGAGAAAAGAGCCGGGAAATACGAGCTTGGTTCTACTACTTACTTCTACTGTGGAAGGACTGTAGATCGTGATCAGTTATAATATTGGACTATTCGATAAACTGAAATAAGCGAGTAACTGATCAGAATAACCGAGATACTGACGAGAAGGAAGAGTAGCCTTGCTGTTCAGCTACCTCCCTTATTTCAGTCAGTAACTCGGTTATTTTGAGTTTTCGAATACATCAGAAAACGCAATAGTACACGACATAGGCGGCACAGAAATGAGATGCGTCCGGACAGCCAGCTCCTCCAACTCCTCCCTTGTACAGTGTGCATATCGTGGCACTTTCGCCAGAATGATTGGAGGTATCATCAAGATCGAGATAATTCTATGATGAAGATCATGACCTGCTGGATACGAACTACAACTATTATTATTATTATTGTCGCGCGTGACCCTATCGTCTCGCACGTTACACTTCTATCAAGAAAATGCGGAACCATCTAGGTCGCGAACCTTCCTCAGAAAAAAAAAACTCTTAAGAGAAAGAGAAAGACGTCTGGTACTCTGGATTTCTACAGCAAAGCACTACTAAAAACTCTTACATATACTAAGTGTGGACTAAGAAGTACAGGATACTCATACTTGAGGAGAAACAACTCTGTACAACTAGTTAGTACTAGTGGAGCCTTGAGCACTGCCTTAAGAGAAGTTTGAGCACTGCACGCAGCTGTAACGCAGTTGAGACCTCTGCGTTCACTTGAGGATGGCCGTAAGCATTGTTATCGTCGAGAACCTTAGAGCCACATTTCAACAAGCCTTCATGATCAAGTGGCTATTCCACATTTGAAGGGTTGAAACACGCGAAAGGAGGAGGTTCTAAAAATTCTTACATATATATAGTAGAAGTAAAAAAATCTGTCTACTAGCACTACGTACTAGATGCAGCTTCAGCGGTAGCCTTAATAACCAGACTCCTGCGAAGGATCTGATCGAGGCCCAGAAGCCTCTTAGACAAATCCTGCCTCATTTTCTTCAACACTACTCCTGTTGATATACTTTCCGCTAATCGGGGCAACTACTCTGGTTGCAGGACTCCGGTTTCTTCAATACTGCTCTGGTCGCGGTTTCTTCAAGTCAGTTTTTACTCTTTTTGTACTTGGTGATGTGCAGAAGATGTTGTCAACTTAGGATAGATGTTGTCATCTAGAAGTTGCCAACAACTTGAATAGACGTCGCCAACTACTTGAGGATGTTCTTGTCGCTGCAACCACGGAGTCTTGTACTGAGTTGTCAACTACTTGAAGATGCCGTCGCTCCCGTCACAGAGTCTTGTACGTGTTCTACGACTACAAGTTGCTCTCCACGAAGTGGATCGTGCATCGTAGGAAGATTGCAGTTCTAGCGTGTTTTTCACACAATACCCAAATCTCGAAAGATCACCTCCACCTCCACCTCTTTGAGATGGCAGCGCTTTTAGAAGGATGGCCATGTCATCGTCCGTTTTTCATAGCCAAGATCAATACAGGGGACGATAGAGATATTTCTACCAACTCAGTGTAGACTCTCAACATCATCGTAGCCATAATGGCTTCAAAGCTACGGGCCCCCCATCTTTAGCTTGTATTCGATAAACTGAAAAAACCCAGACACATAGAATAGTTCCATCTCTCACGAGGATAGAGAGGAGGAAATGTAGAGGCGGATCTTCTGAAAAAGTCTGAAAATATAATATAACAAAGTTGCCATCTGAGAGAATAAACAAGATCCTTCTGGACACAACCTTCCTGCTATGACTCTACGTCCAGTGTTTGCATTTCACTTAGATGTAGCAGTACAAGTGGTAGCCCTTAAAACAGCACCCTTCTTTGCATGATCATCAAGTAGTAGTAGCACGCGAGTGCAGAAGTAGCACTTAGAAGTCGTTTAAGCGGTTGTAGTACACGTGTTCACTTATAATATCAGGTTAGGTTAGGTTATTGATCCTGCACATCGAGCTCTGCCGGCACCCACGGTTAATATAATTAACTCAGACAGTTAAAAGCGTGTTCACAAAATATCAACAGACAGGTATAAAAATAGCGTATAATTTTTGATCTTCTGGAAGCAGTTTAACGTGAAAGACACTCATGTAGAAGAACTGCGGTCTAATAAAAATGTCACACTGTATCATCTTCTGGGAGTAATCAGCAAACTGTAGGAGTTTGGGACGATGGGAAAGAGGGGGACGACGATACTTCGCTTTACTTCTAGAGCTGCAGTCTCGATGGACGATAGGAAACATGGGGACGATACTCCCCCACCCTCCCTCCTTGGATGTTGAATGTTGAAGGTCTCTTTGCATGAATGATCACAAGAAAGGGACCGATCCGGAGTATGCAGCTGGGCAGCTGCGGTATTGCCTCGCCCAGCAGCAGTGGAGTCTCCAGGAGAAACAATTACACTTCGAAATAACCGAGTAAAAAATGAAATAACCGAGTAGAGTGGCCACGCATGGAACATGCGTCCCTGTTCGTTCTTTGCTGATGACCGCAGAGACAAGCTCCGAAAGTGCTTCCAGACAAGCGTAGAGTAACCACTTACGAGGGCTGATAATTCAGAACTAGTATTCTCAAAGAACCTGTTATTTCAAGGCTTCCTCGAAAGTGATCTTGTACTCATATCGAAAATTAATATTCATTTTCATATATCACCTACTAGTTTGGATCAAATATTGCTTTTCAGTTAGTTTGGATTATAATTAGTTTTATATTATTGCTTAGTTTGGATTACTTAGTTTGTTTGGAGGAAGGTAAAAAGATGGTCACTCTTCTACTAGGACAACTATGGATTTAGATCTAGATTTAGATCAAGAGTAATATGGCCACTCTGGGACATTGGGAATTGTTTTTAGGCTCCCTTAGGGTTGTAGTCATTTTTAGAAAATCACTTTGTTCTGTTTGCCAATCAACTCGTTCGAGGAGTAACCAGAAACTTATTCAATGAATTCAGTTTAGTTATAGGTGTCACTTCTTCTTTTTAAATTTAGGTCATCGTCACTTCTTTCAACTCTTTATCATCACACTTGTTACAATTTCAACTCGCTAATAACATCATCTTATACATCTTTTTGCACCAAAACAGGGGAAATGTATCAAAATTTCTGAAAAGTTTTTCCGGTGGCAGCTGTAACACATTGTCTTGTAGGCTTTAGAATCTCAGACTCTTAGAGATCAATGATACTTTTAGATCAAGTTGAGCTTCATCATGCTAGACTGGCTAGCTTATAATAGCATGCTCTACAACTTGGGGTATTCAGTCATTCATTCGGAGACGAACCACGTGATAACCTAAGCTGCCTGGGGTACCAGCAGATAATAAACACTTACAGCTTATACTAGTCAAGCACTAGATGAGAATCTGTTTGAACACTACAGTAGTAAGATTACGAGGACTAGTAGGAACGCGCACTACTCCTAGTGGTCCTACTACTTCAAGACCTACAGAGTGGTCATCATGGATGCCCAGTTTCGAGTAGTTAGCTGCCTCATTATTTCAGTACTGACTTGTAGGGCGACGTCGGTGACTTCTACTTCTACTTCCATCATTTGAGAAGTACTGGGTGGAAAACGATGTTTGTGACTCTTTATTTTCAGTACTTATTCCACCTCACAGATTCTTTAGATTCTCGAAAGCTTTCTGCAAATTCCTCTCATCCCTGTCCAGTTCCTTCACAAACGTCTGCACCAAAGCATGCAGCTTCTGGATCTGCGGTTGCGACTTCACTTCAAAATTAGAGAGAGAGAGAGAGAGAGAGAGAGAGAGAGAGAGAGAGAGAGAATGAGCTCATCAGAAGAGGTACAGGGAAGAAGTACTAACCCCCAAGTTGGTAGTCCTCGATTGGATAATATTGCTGCAAGAAGATGATGCGGAACAGTATGGACTTGTCTGTTTCCGAAAGGATGAAAATCTATAATGCGAAAGCTCAGAAGATTCGAATCTCCAGGTTCATCTACTTGGAGGTTCATCTTGGGCGAGCATCAAGGTGAGTATAGTGTGTCTTAGCCTTCCTCTGCTCTAAACAAAAAATTAGTCACACCCTGTAGTTTCCCCCGTCATCTGTGGGAGCACTCCCATTAGTTACACGTAAAGTTTGGGTCCGCCTAGTACTGCATAGCTAGACACCCATCTAGAGAGCTCAGCTTAGAGCCGTTTTCCCCTGACATCTATGCAGGAAAAGTAGTTTCTCGTCCGAGATGTGTGTCTAGTTCTATCTTGAGGGGTCGTATATTTTGAGATGGACGATTAGGAAAAGAACAAGCCTTAAGATTAGCCATCGAATACAACAGCTCGAGTCGCTTTACCAGCAATTGATTAGAGCTGAAGAAAGCTGTATTGTTCACAGTGATAGACATAGAGGAGCGCTAAAACTAAGACTAACTCTTATCTCACTGGTCTTCGCCTTCTTGGTCCTCCTCCTCTTGGTCTTAATACCTAGCAGCACCCCACGGCAATCAACATTCATGACAATCATACAATATTTCTCACTTCGGACAATGAATCCTGCATATCAACCACTGTGCCACGACTGGCACTTCTTTGTAGTAAATAGAACTACAAGGCCACTAATTCCGCACAAACACGAATCGACGACATGTCATGAAGTAGACTGCCAACAATAATAGGAACGTCCTCTTTCTCTAGTAAAAAGTCGCAACATGACGGACAGATCAACACCAGTAGAAGGCGTAACTTGGAAGGTATCCTGCACTCGGCCAAGATGCTTTTGGATTACAGCTTCCTGCTCCACTGGGATTAGAGCAGCCTTTTCTTTGAATACTACTCGATGAACGGACTGATAGCAGTGGTTTAGTGGTTTAGGCGTTGGCCTGTTCACTTATCACGGACAAGCAGATAAATCGCGAGAGTAAGTAGTAGTCGTAGTAGTAATCGTAGTAGTAGTGTGCCCAATCGTGATAAGCAGTAGGAGTAGAAGTAGTAGTAAAGTAAGCTTTGGGGCGGAGAGAGCAGTGCTACAGCAGGATACTTCACTGGTGTAACAGAAGTCATGCCAGGATAGATTTAGGTAACCACTTACTGGAAGAGTTTGGGTCTTAGGCATGGACCTTTGGGTGCATTAGGCTATACCAATTAGTTTTAACCCATAAGAGTATGGGGTCTCCAGCACGCTTAGTGCTATTCAGGGTCTTCATCTGGGCAGTACTGCTAAATACGAAGTCGCGGAGCCGCTCGTCGCAGCCGTTCAATTGGCTTATTAGAACCACTGCTAGCGTGGTAAGCGTGAGATATTTGGTGCCAGAAAATTATTGGCTAGAGAGCGAAGAGGGAGAGAGGCTATTGAGTGTTGAGAAAGGAAGGCTAAATTCTACATAAGATGAGTTGTAGAGGACCAAGAATAGCTTTTTTAGAACAAACTTATGAGGACCATGTATTTGATGCTAGAATGACTCCTTCTACAATGATCCATAATCATGTAAATATTTATCATGCCTGTCACATATATTGAGCAGATTAAATCGCCTACAATTTTTAGAGTCAGCTACATGTGCACTTTTTTACCTGCTTTATATTAAAGTAGTGTGGTACTTACCTAGGATCTTGACCAGCACCTACCTAGGACACTGACCATAATTTCAAAAGCTCATCGAAGGCGAAAATTCCTCGCCTCATCTTATCCCGCTCCTTCTGCTGAGGGCTTCGGGGCTCTTCTTCTGGCTTACTTAACGCTAATCAATCACTACCCGTGGCTCCTGAGTGTCAGTGGTCCGCTGTGAGGTATCCCCTTCATCACTAAGGATAATTACATACATTATCTGGAACAATTCACTCGGGGTTATCCCAACAGACGCACGAGATACAGGGAATCTCGCACAGATAGTGAAGGAGTCTTAACTTAGGGGGTGTTGTTTGCGTTTCCATGGACTGCTTTGACGGCGCCTGCTTGGATGGCGTGCCCAAACACGTCGCTAGAAATTAGTTACTTAACAATAGCTACTAGATCTATAGAAACGACGAATAAAGTAAGTAGATGAAGATGCATAAGTAGAATAGAAAGTAGCTCGACGGCAAACGTTAATCACTATAAGGTAGACCTTAGACAAAAAGAGAATCGCATAGCTCTAGAACAGCAGATGACATTTTTTCACTTCTGCAACGACGATCCGCAGCGGCTTCGACATGATGACATGATATTCATTCATTTACCTAGCACGAGGTATTGTCTCCAAAACCTAATTAGGATGCAAAGGGGTGGATATTCGTTCTATGATCACACCTCAACATATCGTCTAGAGTACTAGCCTTAATTTGATGTCCCTGCAGAACCTGGCGATGATTCAGCTCCACTGGCGGCACCTTCTCTCGCTTTCGACATGGAGTCCACCTCTGACGCAGCAGTACGGGAGGACGCTCTTGGTGATGTCGCAGCACTTTGAGTCGCAGCAGAAGCACTAGAAGAGGCACTGGATGATCCCTTCTTGGAAGAGGACGTGGACGTGCTTTGATGTTTTAGAGCTACAATCGTCTACTTAAAATATGGATCTCTCACATCATCGAAGTAGAGATCAGCTCCTTTTCTTTCCTTTCTTCTAGTTCTCTCGCTCTTTCTTTTGGGCTTTCTTTCACATTACACGATAGCTAGGGTCTCATGTAGTCCTCCTCATCATCATATACAGCTGATTTCAGTGCTGGGGTCTAACAGCAGGTTGGGTCTGAAATTCCACCTAATCGTCTGTATACTAATCACCAAAACCAAACCATGAAAACGGTTTTCATGGTAGTTGGGTAACTATATAGACGATCACACGCTTAACCTAGAAAATAAAAAAAAAATCAGAAAAGAATCATCTTAACTTCTGCTTTACTGCCTGCTCTGCTAGAGAATTAGTGCTACTTCGGTCCTTTCTTGGGCTGTCACCGTCATCACGCGGAGAGGAAGTTCGTTCGAGTGTCGACGGCTCTCTGTCTCGCTTACTTTTCCGCTCACCGTCATCACGCGTCGACGGCTCTCTTTCAGCCCGCTTGCTTTTGCGTTCGCCGTCATCTCGCGGCGACGGCTCTCTGTCTCGCTTACTTTTCCGCTCACCGTCATCTCGCGTCGACGGCTCCCTTTCGACCCGCTTGCTTTTCCGCTCACCGTCATCTCGCGTCGACGGCTCCCTTTCGGCCCGCTTGCTTTTGCGTTCGCCGTCATCTCGCGTCGACGGCTCTCTGTCTCGCGTACTTTTCCGCTCACCGTCATCACGCGTCGACGGCTCTCTGTCTCGCTTGCTTTTCCGCTCACCGTCATCACGCGTCGACGGCTCTCTGTCTCGCGTACTCTTCCGCTCACCGTCATCACGCGTCGGCGGGTCCCTTTCGGCCCGCTTGCTTTTGCGTTCGCCGTCATCTCGCGTCGACGGCTCTCTGTCTCGCGTACTCTTCCGCTCACCGTCATCTCGCGTCGACGGCTTCCTTTCGGCCAGTTTGCTTTTGCGTTCGCCGTCATCTCGCGCCGACGGCTCTCTTTCGGGCCGCTTGCTTTTTCGCTCACCGTCATCTCGCGCTGATGCATTGCGAGTTGAAGACGATGAGCGCTCCTCGCTGGTAGTAGGTTTACTACTACTTGTAGGCCTACTACTACTACCACTACTACTAGTAGGTCTACTACCATCAGCATTACTACTAGTAGTCCTCTGTTTTTCCCTGTCTCCAGTCGACCGAGGCGATGATCGAGCTGATGTGTTGCTATGAGCTTTCCTTGAAGAAAATTCTTAGAGAGGAGTTACTTGTACTTGAAGCCAGTTGTACAACTTCTTAGAGAGTACTTGAAGCTAGTTGTACTCTGAGTGCTGTTGAAGAGTGCTGTTTATAATTCGTAGCAATCAACATCGTCACCATTGTGCTTAGAACGAAGATAGTTAGGCTTTTTACTATCAGAATCAGCATTCAAAAAAATAGTAAGTATTTGTATCTCATTTATTATTAGTGAATCCTCAGCGCCATAAGCCGATGAGCTGGGTGACGAAACTGGGGACCTCTGTAGCGGAGCTCTTTGCTCTTTGTTTTAGCGCTAGTTTTTCACTATGCCTGGTTGAGTGGGGTGCCCTGCGTCACCCTTGACTCCTTCTTTAAATCAAGGAGGACGCCACTCACCAGACCATACTTACTCCAAACGGGATAGTGAAAAACTAGCCCTAATTTTCGTTCCTCTCAGAGCTTGTAACGCTAGTTGTGCTTCCCTCTCGTTTCAGCCGAGTACTCTTCTTGGTCTTTCTAGGCTCGAAGGCAGGAACATTAGAGATTATTCTCGTTGCCAAGAGCCTTCAGAGAAAATGAAAAGCTCTTGATGATGGACCGAACAAAAACGTGAACTTTGATTTTGTGCCAGATGCTGTTGGACTGCAAGACAATGCAAGACAGTGCAATACGATAAACCTCGTACAGAGCAGTACTTCAGTGCAGACTGCCATAAGGGCGTAGTAGATGTACGGCACGAAAAAAACTATATCTATATGAAGAGGCCTTAACGACAGAAGAAGCACGCTTCGCTTGTGCTGCGTGAACATCCTTCGCCACTTGCTCAACGCCATCGTTTCTGGCCTCCTCCTTGTCTCCGTCCTCTACTTTCAAGGAGCCAGTAGCTGCTGCTCTCAGGACATTTTTGCTGCTAGTTTTAGAGTGTCCCTGGATACAATGCCGCACAATTTACAATATTAAACCGCGCACAAAGTAGTTCAGTATGCGGAGAGGCCTTAAAGGCATGACTTGGCGCTAGTTACCATGAAGGTGGCTAGAAGTATCCCTGGACCGTCCCCTCGTCTCGATAGTACCCTTTCCCCTCGATGCCACCCTTTGTTCTCTTGTATCTATGATTCTAAGATTTAGATTCTTCTAAATGGGAACAATAAAGGGATACCACCAAAGAAATGATGCTAAGACGAGAGATGGACACCAAACGTCGCTGATCATAATAGTTCGAAAATTTTCACCAGGGTCTTCATCCTCTGAACCTCCTCCACCTCTTACTACTACGTCTGACGGACTGGACTTGGACGATTGACTGGACTTGGACGATTTTCTTGATGCTATAGAGTCTTTCGATGCTTTAGAATCTTCTCTGCCAATCGAGGACTTGCTAGAAGGAGAGACTACTCTTGAAGAGTTGCTAGTAGAAGATGAGGACTCTTTTGATGACGTTCTAGACTGCGGAAGCGCTGCGGTTAGAGTGTGCGAGAGTCCATCCCGGTCCCTCCATCTTCGCACCTTTTGCTTCTCCTTTGTAACAAGAAGTATTCTATCTTCGCACCTTTTCCCTTGTGCCAAGTCTTCCAACATGGGAGCAAAAAAACTGTTTTTTTTTTCGAAAATATGCGGGGATGGACACTAAACCACGATGGACACTAGATCGCGTTGACCGTAATGTTGCAGAAACTGGCCCCCCATCAGCCACGGAGCCATCTTCTACTTCGTCTGCGTCATCCCCTGAATCTCCAAAACTATCACTCATCTCCTGCGAACTCATCTCCTGCGACTCAAATTCGGGTCTGGCCAGTCGCTGCAACGCGGTTCGCGCGTTATCTCTAGCAGCGTGCTGTCGGAGGAATTAGAGCTACCGCTGTAGCATCTTCCATGAGAGTCGTATCCTTGGGCGAACGTCCTTTTTCATGAGTAGAAACAAAGAGAAAGCTATAGAAAGACTGACGGAGGAGCAGGAAACTCAAGTGAACTAAAGAACGCTAAAGCTATCAACTACCCTAGCACAGCCGTGATAGTTTATACTTCAACAGAATAAAAGCAGACTACACAAAGAGATAACAAAGGAAGTTGCGAAAACTAGAGTCATATCCTTGGGTGCTCGTCCTAAGAATCAAGATCCTTCCTGAGTGGAAAACCCAAGTCTTAAAAGGAAGTCACTTCATCTGCTGCTGGAGTGTCTACTTCATCCTCACCTGCTAGTCCTTTCACCACTTCTGTGGGTCGTGGTACAGCTTCGAGACCTCCTTCGAGAAGCAGTAAAGGCTGATCTAACTCCACTTCCCGAGGCGCCTGACCTTGACCTTCGAGAAGCAGTAAAGGTTGATCTAACTCCACTACCCGAGTGGAAGCACCACCACCTCCAGCACCATTCTCTCTCGTATTCGCATCCGCCTTTCCATCATTTCTCGAGAAAAACGACTGTTCAACATTAGAACTATCATCGCAGCTGCATCCGAACCCGAGGTCCACCCATCCTTGCTTCCAACTTTAACTTCTCCTACTTTTTCTACCAAATAGCAAGGATGGCGTGAAGGAGGCACTGCTCTTGGTTGCTCATATGACGTGAACAGGCCATCGGCGCCTAACTTGGACTGGACTTACAACAACTATCTTAATTGATTTGACCTTATTTGATTGATGACTCTTAACTTAATACTACTTGAAGAGTACGGTACTCTCCTTACTTTTCCCCTTAGGCTCAATTGAAGAATATTCTAAATTACTAAGCCAACTCATAACTTCTCCTGCGCCAGATGACGGCACGTCCAAATAAACAAGAGGCTCCTCCATTTCTACACTTCTGCTGGCCTTGCCTGCTCCCCGGATGCGATCCTCCTCTCGCAACTTTGCCAGGGGAGCCGCTAGAATTAGAAATAGAGCATAGTACACTCGACGACAAATATGCATCGACTACTTGTGATTGAAGAAATGCAGCATGTCATATACGATAAGCAATCTACAACTACTACAACAACAAAGTTGGAAGATTTGGAGAATGCTGTCGAGGAAGGATCACTCTAAAAAAACGACGCACAGGAACTCTTCTAGTCATGTTTAGCGTCCACTACAGAGTCTGTCATAGTAAATCTATGTCAAGCTACAGTTCTACTGTAGAAAGAAGAGTCTTGCTATAATGTGCTATGAATGTGAATGTGCTACAAAGTAGAGGTAGATGAGGCTAGGCCAGGACATTCTTAGATCACATGTCATGGTACCTCTTAGGTAGCGATAAGCGTTTAATTGTGAGGCCAACCAGTATATATTGCGTACTTAAAAATAAGCGAGATACTACTCAAATAAGCGAGATACTTCTGAGAAAAGAGCAACTTATAGTGACTCTGGTGTTATTTCAGTTAGCTACAACTCGCATATTTTCACTTTTCGAATGAGTGTAAACGTGTACCCTCCATGAGCCTTAACAAAAGTCTTTCAGTTTCTTCGATGAACTGCTTCATCTCAACAGAGAGGTCTCTCAGGGCGACTTTGTCCTGGCAAAGCTGGTCTTCTAACAGTATGACAGGAAAACGTGTGCTCATACTCTCAAGAAATAAAGAGGCTGCTTCCTACTTAGATGAAAGTGCCAAGCGCCAGGCGGAGCACTTTCTACGTAGTCAACAGTTCCTTGCGGATGAGTACACTTTTTCCTCTCGTAAACTGCGAAGCTGCGTCGCAAATCAACTGTACGTCTTGATCATTGACGACTTGACTTTGCCCACTTGGTGATCCGGCAGATCGAATATTAGAANGAAAATAAGCAACTACGGTCGAAGGTGTCCCCCGATCTCTTATCACGATCATAGCCATTCTCGCATACTCAATTCAATGGACATCCTCCTTTTTTTTGTATGGATCCCTCAGATGATCATCAGAAAAATGAGCAATACAGTAAGTCGTGACCTTCAAAACGATGCTTCATTGATCAGGTGCCTCCCCCCTTCGGCAGTCAACCCATTAAGCCATTGAAAAACAGGCTTTCATCCCCAGCACGGCCAAGTTTGGCGGGGGGATGATCATTTGGTCAGTATCTCAGACCCTAAAACTTTCCTAAAGTTCGTCTTGTCATCAATTCTCATGATGATAGTGACTATAGCAGCTGATTCTGCAATAGAATGCAGCTACTAGCTCAGGAAATGGATTCGATTAAAAGGTCATAAAAGTGAAAATTCTTGGATATGACCATCTCAAATTTGAAGGTTTGAATTGTCATATCC